TTGTCTGGATTAGAAAACAACAGAAGATTATAGGGAAAGAGTATAAGCAGTATAGACCTATACAAAAGGGAAAATATTATGTGTAATATTGATCCACAAAATAAAAAAGTAGTAAAAGGGAAAATAACACTGCAGAAAGTTTGCTGTAAGATTGAACTAATCCAGTTAGTGTAAGAATTTATGATGAAAATGGAAAGAGAACAAATAGACTAATAAAATGGAACAGATATTCAAGCATTCCAACAATCCATTCACAGCATCAGTGACAGTGGAAACAAACAAACAAACAAAAAAAAGACTCTAATGGCTTAGTACATGATGTGCTATGTGAAAAAGTGGAAACTGGACTAAGTAACATGAACTCGGGAATCATGGAAAGACCAGACTACTTCCACATGGAGTTGAACTGGAAGCAACACAATTTAGAAACATTGACATCACAGAATAAAATAGTTGTATGAGAAATCCCTAGTTCTGCAAACACATTAAGTCTGCCAAATGTATTTATATACATTTATATTTATATGAAGTGACTTCACCCAAGTCACTTATAAAGATTTTAAATATATAAGGAATAGGAGAAATTCTAAGGGATTGTACTTAAGACTTTTTTTCCTAATTGGATGCTAATTCATTATCTGATCTTTCAACTAGTTTTGAATCTGCCTACCTGAATTGTCTAACTCCACTTCACTTGCTCTTGTCTTCAAGGATACAGTCACTTTGTCAAGGGTTGTCTTGAAATCTAGACAATCTATAGTTATACATTCCCCTGACATATAAGGCTAGTAATCATGTCACAAAAGAAAATGTAGTTAATCTGGCATGACATGGTCTTGATGAAACCATGCTTACTCTCTGTGATCACTGACTCAGTTTCCAGTTATTCACAAGTGTTCTACTTTTTTGTTAGGAATCATACTCAAATTCATTAACACATACTTTATAGACTCTACTCTTTTGTCATTAAAACAAAATTCAAGGGAAGGCAGTATTTTGTCTCCTGTGACCTCTTTTCCAAGATCTCATTTATATTCAGTAATTTTTACTACACTGCAACATCTTTCAGTATCAGCATAAAGCATGTCATGGTCATGTGACTTGGAATTATTGAGGTACTGTCCAATTATTCCCTTAATCATCATAGATCTAAACTCCTAGGCATTTTTAGTGTCCTTTCCAGTCAAAGATCATTCTCATTAGCAAAGAAAACAGACAAAATAGTATTTGAGTAGTTCTACCTTGTCACTATCATCTGTCTTCCTCTCATCCACCCTTGGTGATTGCCTATACTATTTTCAATCTTCTCTCTCCTTCATTACAGCTTAAAAGTCATGCATACCCCATTTTATTTTATTTTATTTTTGTCCTTAGCACTGATTATCAGCCTCAACCCTTTTCGAACACTATCACTCCTGACACAATTCTCACAGGGTGCTGTCATGTTCTTTTATCCCTTTTCTATTATCTGCCATTGCTTCCATCTTCTACATGTCCTTTGTTTAAACAACTAAGTTTGTCAGTGACTTTGTTGTATTTCCACAGGTTTCTTTAGAGTCTCTCACTTTCAACCTCAATGAAATTATTTTTGTCTGCTTCTACAGAATTTAATTTGAGGACTTTCTATCACTTTAGGCTGACTTCTTCTGTAAAATGTTAGGCCATGGGATTCTGCATATTTTTCCTTAATCTTTTGAATTTCCTTATTCTAACCCTACATTGCATATCACACTACATTAGGCTTTCCTTTTCTGTAAGAAACTTGAAGGTTCCCATAATTTCTATTTCCTTCTTATTGGTCAAAATTGCAGTTCCACAGGTTGTTATCTCCAGCTTTTCAAGCATGAAATTAGTATTGAGGCAATTCAAGAATATCTCAGCTGGAGAGAGGGAAAAGAGGAGAGAAAGGGAGAGAGAGGGAGAGAGAGAGAGACAGAGAGAGAGAGAGACTGAAGAATCAGTTCAATTCAGTAAACACTGAATAAATTTCTGCAATTATAAGGTGTTATGATGTTAGGTATATACTTGATGCAGGATGAACATTTAAAAAGCTACTGTAATAGTCTAGTTCAGAGGTGATAAAAACCTGAACTAGGTAGATATTTGTGTGAGCAGAAAGAAGAGGACACAGGAGAGAGATGTATGGATAGAATCAACAGAACTTGACAGATGATTGGATGTAAAAAGCAAAGAATAGAGAGAGGATTCTGGGAAGATGGCAGAGCAGGTCAGAAAATTCCAAGCTCTCAAGATTCCCCCCCCCCCAAAAAAAGATAAAATAGCACCTCAGGGCAAAGGGGGGGGTAAAAATAAATAAGAAGAGAGGCACAACAGGGGTCCTTCTGGGACAATCTGAGATCAGAAGAAAAATCCCAGGACAAGGTTGGTCCCTGTGAAGAGTAAATACCTCCAGGTTAGGGTCCACCTTAACAACAAGTAGCAAGCCCTGGGGTTGGATGGTTTGGGAGGTTACCTCTGCCCCAGTCACTGGAACTTTTACTCCCCACCCCCAGTGAGGGGAGCTGGGTGTCTGAGCTGGGGAAGATCCAAGAAACCTCTGGTGACAAAGAACACTAGATCCAGCTGTGCTTTGGAGAGGTGCAGGGGCGAGAAAGAACCTGCACATTCCTGGTAAGTGCAGAAGCAGTGGTGCAGAATACCCCCTGGGTGTGGGCACTCACAGTGGGCTGGAGGTTTGGCTTTGGTTCCAGGCTAGGGAGAGAACTGAAGATTTGGGCAAGAGGCACCATCCCACATACAGAACAAGAAGATAATACAAAAATTAAGCTATTAAAACAAAAAAATGCACAGGCAAAGGAGAAAGAATCCAACTATAGAAAGTTATTATGGGAATATAGAAAACCAAGGTTCATCACCAGAAAAAGATATTGAAGCAAAAAACCCTTTTCACCCCCAAAGAGTAATGCCAAATGGTCACCTGCCCAAAAATAATTTATAGAAGAACTTTAAAAAGACTTCAAAAGTCAAAAGAGAAAGATTGAGTAAAAACTAAAAAAAAAATAATAATCCAAGAAAAACAAGAAGATTATGAAAAGAAAGTCAACCAATTAGAAAAGGAGATCCAGAATCTTAAGGGGAAAATATGACACTTTGAAAATTAGAATTGGGCAAGGCCAAGCCAGCAAAGTTATGAGATCAAGAAATAATTAAACAAAATATAAAGAATGAAAAAACAGAAGAAAAAGTGAAAGATCTTATAAGAAAAACAACTGATCTGGAGAACAGATCAAGAAGAGAAAACATAAGAATAATTGGACTACCTGAAAGCTATGATAAAAAAGATACAAATAATCAAGTTATGGTCAAAAGATAAAATAGGGGCAGTGAGGTGGTGCAGTGGATAGAGCAACGGCCCCGGATTCAGGAGGACCTGAGTGTGACCCTGCGCAAGTCACTTACCCCCATTACCTAGCCAAAAGAAGAAAGAAAGAAAGAAAGAAAGAAAGAAAGAAAGAAAGAAAGAAAGAAGGAAAGAAAGATAAAATAATATAAGAAATAATTAAAGAAAATTATCCTAAAGCATTAGAACAAGGGGGAAAGTAGAAATAGAAAAAAATCCAACAATTACCACTTGAAAGAGATCCTATGAGTAAAACTCATAGGAATATTATATTCAAATTCCAAAACTTGTAGTTCAAGGATATAAAATGTTAAGAGCAATAAGAAAAAAAAATTAAGTATGAAGGTTCCACAATTAGAATCGCACATGAACTAGCTGGGGAGACACTAAAGGACTGCAGATCTCAGAACACTATATATCAAAGAGCAAAAGAATTGGGGTTCCAGCCAAAAATATTATACCCAGAAAAGTCAAGCATAATCCTGAATAAAAAAAAATGGATATTTGATCAACTGTCAGATTTTCAGGACTTTGTTAAAAAAAAAAACTAAAGTTAATAGAAGATTTGACATACAAGAGTCAAGAAAACTTAAGGTACATACCAAATACTGATTAAAAGGGATTCAATAAGGACAGACCATTTACCTTTTATATATGCAAAATATAAAACATATGTCTAAGATTGTCATTAGTAATTGGGTAGTTCTTAAGAAAGATTGGAGTAGACTTTTGATATGACTTTAAAAGTAAAACAATTTAGGAACAGCTAAAAAGTAATTATTTTATACAAATGAGGCGCAAAAAGAAGAATTGACACAGAAGAATTAAATGGGGAAGGAGGGCTGGTAGGTCTGGTAACCTACTTTCATCAGTAATGAGATTAAGAAGGAACAATACATATATATCTAGAAGAGTATAAAAGTCTTCTAAATTCAGAAGAAATAAAACAGTAAGGGGATTGGTGGGGGAGGATAAGTGAAATATCTCTAGAGGGGAGGGTGAGGGAATAAGTTAAAGTGGGGTATAGAAGGGTGTTTAGATTTATGGGAATGGGAGGACAGGGGAGGGATCCTTGGAAGGGGGTTAGGCTAAGTAAGGAGAGCAAGGTATTGAGTAGAAGTAAAGTAGAGGAGTTAGGAGGGATAGGAAATAAGAAATAAGCACAAACATAAAAACAAAGATTAGGAGTAGAATTTCTTAGGAAAAGTATATGTCTATATATGTACATATGTATGTATATATGTATATGTGTATGTATATATCTATATCTATACATAAATATATCCGCATTTAATTGTAGTCTTCTGGGGGGGAGAAAGGGAAAAAAAGAATAAAGTAAAAAGTATACAGCAGAGAACAAAAGAAAACTTACAAGGAAGCAAAGGTGGACAGCTCTCAACACAAAGTATAGTATTTATCATACAGGCTTTCTTGAAATGCAAATTTATCACTAAAAATAAATAAATAAATAAATAAAAAGGAAAGAAAGAATAAAATTGCAGTGTTGAGTGACTAAAATGATGGAGTTACCTCATTAAATATAGGGAATTTTAGGTATTAGCCTTGACTAACTTGGAGACAGACCACTTACTGCTCATTTGTATGTACAAGTCACAATGTGTTATCAATATATACTTACTATACGAGCATCCGTAGGCTTCCACCCTCATGCCTATCTTTCCATTTGGATTCCATTCCATTGGGACAAATTGGATGAATCGGGCTTTCACTGAGTGTGAAAATTTGTGGTGCACAATACTGTCAGCATTGGTGTTTCCTGAAACAGTCTATAAGGAAAAAAAGGCCCAATTAGCTTAGTAATATTTTGCCCCTAGTTACATGTTGAGAAATGCCCAAAAGGGAACTAATTCTCCTTATTCAATTCACATAAATTTGATTTCTGTTCCCTTCTTTTTTCTTCCATTAAATAGTTAATAGCTCACATATGGATGAAACAAACATATTTATTGAACACAAAGGATTTAATTCAATTCAATATACATTTATTGAACATCTGGGTACTCAAAGACAGAGAAGAAACAGTTCTAATTCTAAAGGAATTTGCACTGTTTCAAAATGAAGACTGAGTAATTCAGATTCTTACCAGTTTGTTTAGAAAAAGTGGCATAGAAACAATATTCAGTTTAATTGAATCCATTAAGCATTTAATATACCTATTAAGAATTCAGCCCCAGGCTAGGCCCTGGGCCCAAGGAAGTGGAAAGAATGATACAATCATATGAGAAATGGTTCATGTTCTTGAGCAGCTAACAGACTACTTGTAGAGAAAAAAATTTTCTGCTTGTCTCTGTTGCCCAGGTAGGCATGAGGTATGTCTGTATTGTCTTTTTGTAAGTGTAATTAAACTATATTATTTACCCAAGCTTCCTGGAAGCTCCCATAAGCTTTCCATAAGCTCTGGAAAGATAAGGACTGTTTTGTTTTTGTCCAAGTGTCCCCAGCTTCTAGTACAGTGCTACGCATGTACATAACAGGCACTTAATGTGTATTTGTTGAATTTATTGAACTGCTTTCATTTAGAATTTATAACTATTTAGCAGTGGCCAAAATCTATTTTAACTCATTATAGAGAAAGTTTCTTAAAAGGGTTAACAACTTTGTTGTGGGGTATATGACTCAGTAAGAATAGGTGACATTTATATCATGTTTTATAGTTTACAAAGTGCTTTCCTCACAACAACTTTTTAAGGTGTTTGTTATGTTTATTTATTATTTACAAAGGAGAAGTTAAAGCACTTGCTCAATATCACAAAGGTGGTTAGTGGAAAGGTTGCAGGGTTGGGACCTGAGTCCGACTCCAATGTTTAAAAATTCTCATTCTTCTATGCTTCACAAGGATCATACGCTTACAAGTAGAAGGGACCTTAGCAGTTACCTAGTCTTTTGCCCCATTAGGAAAGTGAAGTCCAGAAAGGTTAAGTGATTTGTTCAAAGTCACATGTATTCTAAGTGACAAAGTCAAGATTTGAACCCAAGTCTTCTGTTTCCAAACTGACCACTGTTTCCTTTCTAACAAACTCTCCTTTGACATTTAAAACCATCATATACATGCAAATAAACATTAATTATTTTGCTGAAATTTCATTGGTACATAGAAATCCCAGCATGAAAACACTGTGTATCATTGCAGATCAGACCTTCCCCAGAAAGTTCTCTCTTCCAGAATTTTGCCCTTTTAATGTTGAGGGCGGCTAGAGATACAATGAATACCGAGAGCTTGGAAGACTATTGTTATTGTTGTTATGTCTGACTCTTCATGACCCCATTTGGGGTTTTCCTACCAAAGATACTGGAGTGGTTTGCCATTTCCTTCTCCAGCTTATTTTACACATAAGGAAACTGAGGTAAATATCATTATTTGACTTGCCTAGGGTCACACAGCTAATAAATGTCTAAGGCCAGATTTGGTCTCATGAAGATGAGTCTTCCTGATTCCAAGCTCAGTACTCTATCCACTGAGCCACCTACCTGCATTTACCCATGTTCAAATCTGGCCTTAGATAGTTATTAGCTATGTGACCTTGGGCAACTCACTTAACCTTGTTTGCCTCAGTTGCCTCATCTATAAAATGAGCTGGAGAAGGAAATGGCAAACTACTCCAGTATCTTTGCCAAAAAAGAGTAGGGTCAGCAAGAGGTGGACACCACTGAAAAATGACCAAACAACAACATTCAGAGTTAAGTGATTTGTAGAGTCATACAGCTAGTATGTATTGAAAGTGGAACTTGAACCCAGGTCTTCCTAAATCCAAAATCAGTGTCCTATCCACTACACAGCACTTCCTCTACGCTTACTACATATATGTATATGTAAAACAAAGTAATATAAAGAAGTATAGTTGGCGGTTTGGTACTAACGAAAGTAAAATCATTGCATTTTATAATTTCATAGAATTTTTTTTAAATCCTCACTCAACAAAATGTCTGTATCAACAGAGGGTCAGGTACTCTGTCTGCTAGGTTACATGGGGTGGTATAGAAGAAGTATAATTTATATACCCTCCAAAGGAGGTTATAACCTCATAAGGGAGAAAAGACTAGCATGAACACACTTTTTCTAATTAAATGCTATATGAAGGACTATAAAATTCTCTAAAAGTTCAGAGGAAAGGGGTATCAAAGACAATAACATGGGAAAATTTGGGGAATGAAGTGGATATTTATTTGAGTCATAAAGGCTGGATAGGATTTAGATGAACATAAAAAGAATGAGGAGACTCTTCAAGTTGAAAAGCATAGGATAAAATTTGTCTATAATTTCAACGGGCCTTATGCCACCCTTATTTGTAACTATGTTCCAATTAATCCTAATGAAGAAGATTTTACTGGAACTTCCAGTCTGTTTTTGATGTCATTAAAAGTTAGGTCTTACCAATTTTACATTATAAAATAGTGAAAAATTGCACTCAAAAATGTACTCATCAAGACACAAGTTGACAGAGAAAAGAGCCTATTCCATACATAGAAATGCACAGAGAACTTCACTTTAGTCATGCAACTCAATTAAGGCCCACACAGAATAGACAGAAATCCTCCGACATTTCAGATTCAGTTAAGGCACTCTAAATACTGTTTATGGAGTCAGGGGAAATAAGAGCACACTATGCTGTAGGTTGAGCTTTCTGGATTAATTTTTTTTTGTATTATCTGATGAATAATAGCAGAAAAAACAATCAGTAAATAAAGCAATCTTAACTGTGAGCGGGGAAACATATGCCACACAAAGAATTAGGTTTACAAATGAACGCCAAGTTATAAAATCTATCATATTCCTATAATGCTGCCATAATGCTTATCAAAATATGACAGTCATAGAAACCATTATGCCATGACACATGGGTGTGGCCAGTGTTATTTAAAGGGAAAGAAACAAGTATGTATTAAGCACCTACTATATGCATAAGGCACTGTGCTAAATGCTTGACGAATATTATCTTAGTTGATCCTCACAACTCTGTGAAGTAGGTGCTATTAAGATTCCCTTTTTACAGTTAAGGGAATTGAGGCAGATGGATTTTAAGTGGAATCATGGTTAATGCTGTGTGCCCAGTTGTTTGAACTCAGGTCTTCCTGATTCCAAGCCTAGTTCACTACCCACTGTGTCACAAAGCTGCTTGGAAGTGTCTTTTTTGAAAAGCGAGGACAACTACCCAGATATACATGGGAAAAGTTTAGGGGTGGGTGAAAAATTCAACCCAGGGGAATGCAGAAAATCGGGAAAAAAACTCATAGACAGTCTCCCAGATAGAATGTGATTGGGTCAGAATATTGTTGCAGTATAGGAAAAGATGAGCTAGTGGATTTAGAAAAAAAATATGGAAAGCCTTGGACTTATGAAGATGCTATCCACCTTCAGAGAAACAGATGACAAGTGGAAAAACTCACCCCAATTCACTAGATGATAAATTTATACCATTTTATTTTCAATGCCACTCATGAAAAGCAAGGAACGTTAAGTTTTCATGGTGTGTTTCTAAAGGTGAAATGAGTTGTGTACATTTGTACGAAGGAAAACATCAGGTAGCAGATATAGTCTGCTATTTGGCCCACTGAGAATTTCAGGCCTAGACACCACCTAACTTAAATGATTTCTGGGGAAGAGATCATCATTTACAAATGAACTCAAAAGGCACAAATCTCAACTTCAAAGACAGTCCTCACCTGGTAGACTAATTCTTTTGCTTTATATTTTATTCACAACTTTCCTTCCTTCCAGGCTATTTTTTTCCTCATATGCAACATTTGTTCACTAATGAGCAATCCAGACCTTCCCACTAAAGGCCTGCTAGTATGCTCCCAGAATGGACAAAAGAATGCCATGTTAGAGAGCCCAGTGCAGTTTATGAAAACCACATGAAGCCATTCAAACTCTAAAAGAGTTTGAGTTTACAAAGAGCTTTCCGCTTACAAAGTGCTTTTACACATGTATTATCTTATTTGACTCACTGATGAATAACCAAGAATTTGGTAGTATGAGTATTAACGTCTACATCTTACAAATAAGGAGACTGAGTCTCAAAGTCATTAATTGACTTGGTCAAGAAAATAAAGTTAATAATTGGTAGATCCAGGACACAGATTAAAGTCCTCTAACACCAAGGCCAATGCTCTTCCTCTTTTATGTTGCTTCTTCTCTCTAACCTCAACAGCTCCCACTCAATATCTTTTTACTCTAGGTAGCAATTCAAAAATCCAAAATATGTGCTACTGAAAATATGGTAGGTAATAACCCTTAAATTAGACAGTCATTGCTACTGGCAAAAAGACAACTAGATTCACGAAGAAAGAAGTAGAGTTTATAGTAGATATAAAGACTACTATTACTCAAAGAATACTTTCTTAATAATGTTATTTAATCCTTCTCAAAGTATATCAGTATGAATGGAAGATAAAGGAGCCAGCTTTAAAACCAGGGAAAACCTACAGTGAAATCCTGCCTCCAATATGTCCTGGCTACATGACCCTCAGAAAGTCACTTAACTTCTTAATACTCTAGGCAAATCTCTAGGATCATTAATTTCAAACTTAGCACCAACCTCCATTTGTAGGAATTTCCTCACCTGAGATTTCCCTTATATTAATGAAACCACAGGTCCAATTCCTATAACAATCCTTTAGAATCCCTTACATAAAGACACTCTGTGCAGTGTTTTGTGGAAAACATCAATTTGACATTCCTTTTTAAGAAAATTTTCAAGTATTAATTAGAAATTCTACAAGGTGGAGAAGAAGTGTCAACTACCAAAATAAAAATCACATCATATGA